AATGAAGTTTTTGTTGGACATATCTAAGAGTAAATAATTATATTTTTATAATAAATATACATACTTTAAATTAAAAATATCTTACTCCATAAAAGCAAAGTAGACAAAAATACGATACCACTAGATACGATCGGACCAGATCAAAGAATATGATATCTAATTGCATAATGGCATGATTGGTATGTAGTATGCAGATAAAATAAGAGCGAAATGAAATGACATTATCATCCTATATTATCATTATCACTCTAAAAAAAATAATATTTATATTAATGTTTATTTTCTTATTTATGATAAAATTATTATTTTTATTTTAACAATATACTATATTTTAATGAACATGCTTTTGTACTGTAACACCCATTTTATATAGTAAATAAGTGAAGTATGTATTTATATACATATTAACTAATACAAATATATTATTACATAAACCCTTATAAGCATATGTGGTCAAATATACTTTTTTGTAATATAATTCAATTTATGAATAAATATGTAATATATATGATTATATAAATAAAATAAAATTTTTCTAAACTATTTATAAATGCATTTTTTTTGAATTTTATTTTATATAAGTATTTAATATATCATATTAAAATATTCTAATAATTTTTTATTTTATAAATTATCGTATATAATGTAATTCAATCATGATAATATTGTATACATTATATATTCATTTGTTATTATTATTTGTTATTATTATTATTTTTTATTTTTATTTTTTTGAAAAATCAATTCCTAAACGCATGAGAATGAGAAAATCATCCATTAGCTATGAAATGGCTAATCTCATATAGATGGGTTTTGCAATTATCATTGGAATTGTCATTCCCTTCCAAAAAAATATATCAATCATGAGAATGAAAGTGAGTAACGGAAATGATCATTTCATTCCACGTTATTCTCGCATATCAATCATGTCATAAATATGTATCTATAATACAAAAGTAGACAAGTTGATCTGCCTAACCGTTAATTACGACTTCTTACACATGAATTCCTTAACCTTTTCTCATTTGATATTTTAATTTTCTTTGCACATAACACATGAATTCCTTAAACTTTTCTCATTTGATATTTTACTTTTCTTGAATGCATCATAGTAGCTTATTAGCAACCATAAATCTATCATATTTCATATTACATTTACCTCATACAAAAAATAACTCCTCCAAATCAAAATTACAGACCTCAAATGCCAAAAGGGCCTTATCCATGGGACAACTTTTTCAGGGTTAAAATAATTGCAAGAGAATTGTTTCATGGGCACATTTTTGGATCTAAATTCCAAATAAGTCCAATCAAGAAAGTACAGTCCCATGTGCTTCAAATGCAACCAGCTGCCAATCCAGCTAGCTATGTATATTCTAAGCAAAAGCCCCAAAACTATTCTTTGCTCAACCCAAGGACATGTGTATATATAATATATGCACACATGCATATATCATATAGAGCCAAATGTGAGACTAGGTGAAATCCTAATAAAACAAACATTACTATAAATTATGATATTGTTTAAGTACTTTGTGAAATTATTAAGTGAGATTCTTGTTTTCGAAAAATTTAAATCCTGTCCTTTTTTTTTAAATAAAATGAAAATAAAAACACTTCATGGAAGAATGAAAGATTAATTTCAAATCCCCCGAATATTAAATAGATCTAAGCCCCAAACTGGTGAGAACAAGATCATTATATCTATGGATCATCTCAGGAAAACGAGGACATGAGCTCATAGAATATTAAATACAAAGTAAAAAAGAAAACAAAACGAATCAAAATGTCCACATATGGACTAACAGCTGCCTAAACATACAAACGCACCACATACGTAGTCTATATAGAAAATTAAAAATAATACCTCGTCTAAAGAAAGCAATAAAAAAAAAAAGAGAAAAGGATAGCCAAGTTGAAAAAGTGTGAGTAGGCGAAGCGAGGCGGTGAGAGCGAAGAATGTGCGTCTCTTGGGGACTATAGTGCCAAGTTCGTCAAGGAAATTAGTCATTTGATTCCCCTCATGAAAAGTATGTGTAATACTACGCAAGACAAACTGGAACATGCGTCGGACATACATGAGTGAGTGCTAGATTTGTCACGAGCCTTGGTGACTTGATATCAGACAACTAGCAACGACAACAACATCCAACCCTATCCATGAGCGTGGAGAAGCTTTTACCTATCTAAAGGTCAATCTTTAGCGTCTTTATCACTACATCATAGCTTGAGGGACCTTGAAAGGGTGTATGGATAACATTGATGAGCTTTCCGCTATGATTCTGAATCAGACATCCTCGTTTACAACTCATGTAAGACGGTATAATGAGCCATCAACTTGACCCAAAAAGAGTATGGTATAAGCCACACAACACTAGGATGGAGAGACTAGACATATCGCGGTGGGGTCTGCACGAGATAGTAAGACGAGGTGCTATCTCTCCAGCCTCATGGTGTAAATGTGCCCAAATATGTAAGAAGAGAAATGTGGCGCTCTGTCTACAAAATAATTTTAGACAAAGATAAGGTAATACCAATGTGCTTTGTACTATTTCTCTTTGTCTAAATGAACCAAATGATCACACAATGAGTGGAGAAGGCCATGTATCTAATTTGGGTGTGTATGATGTGAGAAAAACTCATGATCATAGAGAAATTTTGTCTAGACAGAGAAATACTCCCTTACCCTTCTTGTTGCAGTTGTCCAAAAATAAATGCGTGAAAGTCTCAGTGTGGTAATGGGTCGAGGAACAACAAACACAGTGCGGGGGGAAGAAAGATCCCCTAGCATGCAACATCATGTCAATAGGAATTGCGGTGCAGAAGAAAGTGCCAAAGAAAAACACATATGGTAGGAATAAAGAGATTAATTCAAATGTCTAGATGTCCTTAAATAGAAGGTAATGATAATCTTTTAGCGTGGCACATTTCCAAGCCGAAATCATAAAAAAAAAAAAACACAGGAGGATATTAACCTTCACCTCATACTATCAAAATCATCCTCAGAGATAGGTATCCGTTGAATCTGCTCGAGTATTTTCTCTGTGAAACCCACTCCAATGCCCAGCTTCATATCAAAATTTTCTTTATCCCAAGCCCCATCGATCCATGTGTCCTTCACCTGTACAGAGGGAGATGGACAGTGTTACAAAAAACTAAAGAACATCATGTCTCTAAACCACCATTCATCTCAAATCCTAACCCACCCTCCCTTAGAGTTTATAAGGTGTACACCAAAGCTAGCATATCCATCTTGGTGAGCCTCCTCGCCGTCTACTATTCGTGCATTGTGGTTGTCACTTGACAGGAGTGACAAGCGCCTCAGAGGTAGTACTTTATGCGAAGGCATTGAGTCCAAAGCGAAAATTTCTTTCCAAAAATGCCACCACATCTTATAAGCGAAAGAGGTGACTACGTTTGAAATGCGGCTTATCCCAAGACCTCCCTTAGAAATAAGAGTGATACAGAATCCTAGTTGACCTAGTGGACCTGTTTACTCCATTGAGAATCATCCTCATTACCCAAAAAGGTAACAAAGGGTGACCTAAAGGATCAAGAACCATGAGGAGGCAAAATGGTAGAGCACTGTGGGGGGTCTTAATCAGTACGAGACAACTCCTAAATGAGAGGTGTTTGTAGAGCTAACTAGAAATCCTTCTAATCAGCCTTTGTATGACATCATCAATAAACCTTCACTAGAGATTTCCATTGTACATAGGGCCACTAACAATGGTAGAAAGGTCACCACACTCAAAGCCAGTGAGTTCATAGACCCTCCGCCCACTAATCCAAAAACACAGACACAAAATGAAAATTCTCTTCTACACGCTGACGTGGCCAAACTTTGTGCTCCAGAAGGTGCATAAGTCAAACCTTCCTATCATCACCAGTTTAGGGTTGTCATATTTTTCCAAAAAATCAAACTGAAAATAACTAAATTAGACCATTTCAATCGATAACCAAATGTCGTTAACCAACTCAATTTCACTTTGGAAATAATATTAGCTTACAAATGGTTAGATTCAACCTAACCAAACCAAAAAGTAAAAATAAAATAAACAAAAAATACTAGATTTGGTTCAACTCGTTTTTGCTCACCCCTACTCAAACCTTTCATCTCACTGTCTGCTAAATATTAGGAAGGTAAAGTAAAAACCAAAAATCGATCCATAAAGTCACACACAACTTGCTATTCATAATCTTTTACCAGATCTTCGACCTATAGACGGCATTTAGCGATGCAACAACCATTGGAGGCCGACATACAATGGAATAGGTTTTGGCCAAACGTCGGGCGTTGGTGACGACTAACTAAGTGTCGGTCAGAGTTGTTGGGACTGATGACTCGCGGTGGCGGTTGGTATCCAGATGATGAAATGAGTATGGTGGGAAAATGATTCGCGCACGGTAACCTGGTAGAGGTTTCGATGAATTGCTAGCAAGGGTGTAGTCGGGTTGTGGATCTGAGTTCTGACCATAGCGAGGATGAGCCCTGGTGGCTCTCAATTCAGTTTTCAACTTGAGGGCTATCATTCAATTCCAATTGTTTTCAACTAGATTTCTCTAATATTCCACTGAATTATTAGAATGGCAAATTGAGGATTGGGGTTTGCTACAAACTTAATTAATTAGTCTACACTGAATTTGATGGTGATTTGAGGACTTAGGTGTGATGCGTGGTCAGTTTTATTATGAAAACGAAATTGACATTCTATTTCGACAAATACCGAGAAACTGAGGTACTGTCACGATTTTTTGGTTACTGGATATTAGCTAATTGAATACATGTCTGTTCGTTTTTATTAGCCACAAATTGAAAACGAAATTTTCAATTTAGGTCGGTAAATAATGGTTCGGGACAATAACCGAATCAAATCCAACCCTACATCAACCCACGTAAAGATGATGATGTTATCAGCTTAAAAGAGCGTGAGACAAGATAATCATAGCCACGAGTATTGTAGTATGTCATCCTTGAGTTATCAAAAATGAAAAACAAACGTGATTCTAACAAATAAAAAGTATATTATGAAATTGAATATGAATTATCCATTACCCTCATAACTACATATAAAGATTGATGCATATAAGCGTGATAAGTACAATAAAAATCGTTTGGTTCATTTTGTAAAATATATTTTAATAGTAAGCAATTCCAAGTACAAACGTAAAAGTTATGACTATTGTCGAATTCTACCAAAATAAATTTGTGAACAAATAAATAATTAACAAAGAAGAAGATACCAAATGGCAAAATAAATGAATATGTCTTACAACATTTCATAGAGAATCCCATTGCCCAACAGCAAAATCAATAACCCCCTAAACAACAAACATCCTCAATTTTACCAGTTCCTAATATAAAATATTTTTTCCTT